TGCAGTCACGGCCAACATCATAATTTGGCTTTGTGAGACCTGACCTCAGCAGAGGATCCAACTAAGCCATGCCTGGAATCCTGACCCATGGAAACTGTGAGATAATGGGCATGTGTTATTTTAAGCCATTAAGTTTGTGATAATTTGTTATGTAGTAATAGAAAACTAATACAGAGTTTGCACACGGGAGAGTCAAGTTACAAGAAAGGCCATCTGGTATTGTTCACCTCTCCTACAGGAAGCCCTTGGACCCCGTGGTCAGAGCCTTGTCTAAAGGAATCCTCTCCTGGTTTAAATCCCTCCAGTCGCCCAGAGGAATAGATCCAATTCCATTTGTCACTTTGACCCCATTGCTTCCTGCCTTCACAGAGAAGAATCAGCATGCCAGACCAGTTTCCTCCGTGCACTAGGAAGGGAAGCCAGCTGCACTATGCCCTTACCACTCATTCTTCTAACAGAAGACTCAATGACTCTGATATGTCAACTCTCAGACCAGTTCCTCCTGGGAAATCCCAGGAGCATATTTCTTTGACTTCTAATCGCCTTCCGATCTGCAACAAGAATTATGTAAGAGACTCACACTGGCTACAAGATTTATGTAAAAGACTCGCCGACTAAGGACACTAACTAAATAAGCTAGACAATAGCACCAAATCGCTTACTGCTTAAGTACAGTCATCAGGTCAAAAGGACAGTACCTAGCTGACTGCTTGGAACAAATAAACCTGTTCCAGGAAACAAGAACTAGGAGAGTGTTTAGAAGAAATCTTCTCTTTCATATTCACAATGAGACTTGAAAGGATATAGCATCAATTAAAACAAACAAACAAACAAACAAACAAACAAAGCCAGGCTTTCACCAAAAAGAAACACTGTGAAAAACAAGCAATAATTCTTGAGAAAAAAATGTAAATCAGTAGACAAAAATCTGAATGTCAGTGAAGAATATAATAGATAATTCTAAAAGCCAAATGATGTTGACAGAGTACACACATAAGAGGAAAGGTCATGAGCAAAGATGAGCATCTTGGAGAACAGATTTGGAAATCTAAAAATAATTGGTTCTAAATGTAAGAAAAGAAAGCAAGGGAGAATGACTAATTAATGAACTGATAGGATATAATTCTTCAGAGCTGGAGGAAGGGTTGTGTTTGCAGATTGAAAATATTCACCAACCAGGGCCGCCCAAGTGGCTCAGCAGTTTAGCACCACCTTCAATCTAGGGTGTGATTCTGGAGACCCCAGATGGAGTCCCAAGTCAAGCTCCCTGCATGGAGACTGCTTCTCCCTCTGCCTGTGTCTCTGCCTCTCTCTCTCTCTGTGTCTCTCATGAATAAATAATTAAAATCTTTAAAAAAAATGAAAATGTTCACCAACCAAAGATGGAATTGTTTTTCAAAAGCCCATTTCGAACATCAACAACTATAAAAGATGTGAGGTTTTATGAAACAAGTTAACAAGGGAAAGCATTATAATTTAGAATCCTAGGTATTCAGAGATTCAGAATGTAATAGTAGACCATCCAGGTACACTTTTTGGATAATTACTTGCAAAAATACTTTAGTTAAATAAAAACTGAATCACAGTAAAGATCACAAGGAAGAAAAATATACAATGTACAAGAAAGGGCGGCAATAGTACAAATTCAATAAAACAAAGTCAAATCTAAATAAATTTTGATAACGGAAGTTTGATGCCATTAAAAGTGATCTTGAAAAAGGAGACATATTGTAAGAAAATAATTATTAAAACATCTGGGAAACTGGGCAGATTATTCAGTAAAGTCTGGGAAAGGAAAGCATAATGGAGGGAGAGAAAGTGAAAGCTTGCAAAATGTACTGATTGAGGTCTCTAACTAGGAGGGAACATAATTCTCTGATTTGATGTTAGATTCTGATAGAGAATGTGCGCCCACATTTCTCTGTTAAAATATAATGATGACTACTAGAGGACTTAAAATAGTATGCAGAACTGCCTAGCCAATACAAACAAAAAAAAGAACACATGAAAATTGGTCTAATAAAGTATAAATCAAGGAGGAGGAAGCAACATTAGGGGAGGGGCAATTTCTGCAATAATTTCTGCAGTGCCCCCTCATGCTGGCCTGCCTTCCACCATGTCCTTCCCAGCTTCCTCTCCAGAGGAGCTGTCTAAGCCAAATATACTTGTGGACAGAAGGAAGCACTGGGTGGAAAAAGAAATGAACTCATCGTTGCCTTCATCTTATCCACATTATCTTTTTCCTGCATCTGGTGGGGAAACTGACTCCAGGCCTCTCTCTCTGCTTGCTCATTATTACTTCAGAAAGTCAGAATGTGAGTGGGAATCCCACCATGTCTAAACCACATTCTGGACACGGCTTTTCCAGAGCTCTGCATTCAGGTGTTGTTTAGCAAATAGTAAAGGGAACACTTTTCTGTTTGCCTCCTGGGGAAAGCCCTGGAAAGGGATTGGCTAGATCAGATGATACATCTCGGGTGGGTCTTTGATCATAACATCGTATCAGCGGTTTACACTTCAAACATACCTTAACAAGAATGGTTCCACCTAGCAGAGACAACAGCTAGAGAAAAGGGACACACCTACAATGCAGGAGGCAGGAACATGAAGTACTTTGAGGAGAGGAAGAAATTGAAACTGTAACAACATTTTTGAAGCCTATAAACTCTGACCCAGAAATTCCTCTTATGTGATTTACCTTTGGAGAAACACTTTCATCACGGGCATGTAAAAATTCAGAGATGTTCAGGGCAGTATTTTCTGCAATAGGGAAACGACTGAGGAGAACCTTAAGACTACACCAAAAGGAAACATTAAATACACCATGGTGTATTCAGTCAATGGCTGCAGTCAATAAAAAGAATGGGGTTGTGGGGATCTGGGTGGCTCAGTCAGTTAAGCATCTGCCTTCAGCTCAGGTCATGATCTCTGGGTTCTGGGATGAGCCCGGCATCAGGCTCCCTGATCAGTGGGGGGTCTGCTTCTCCCTCTCCCTCTGCTCCTCCCCCCTGCTCATGCTCTCCTCTCAAATAAATAAAAAAGCTAAAAAAAAGAAAAAAAAAGAAAAAAGAATGGGGTTGATCTACATATATTATTAGTCTGTAAAGTTATATAAAGTTCATTGTGGAACATTATCTTATGATCATATGAATTTGTACATGCAGTTGTGTGGGCGTGTGTGTGTCTATCCCTAGAAAGAGGTCTGGCAGCATATTATTTTTCTGGTCTCCCAGGAGAGTGGAACTATGTAGAAATGGTATTCACATTTTTCTTTTTGCATTTCTGTATTGTTTGAATTTTCTACAATAAGGATGTTAAGTCCTGTTAAAAAATTAAAGATGAGAGATGCAAGATATAGGCAGAGGGAGAGAGAAACAGGCTCCCCCACAGGGATCACAACCTGAGCAGGACCCTGGGATCACAACCTGAGCCAAAGGCAGATGCTCAACCACTGAGCCACCCAGGCGTCCCTAAAGATAGTCTATTTAGTGGAAAATACTATTATTTAGAGGAAAAGAATACTTTTTTTTCCTCTCCGTTTTAGGCAAAGAAATACTCACTGGGTAATTATTTGGCTTCTTATGTCACCTTCTCATTTAGTCTTAGCAGTGGTTTAGAAATATTTTTTCTAGTTGGTTTGCATGGAATATTCTTTTTTTTTTTTTTTTTTTTTGCCAGTATTATGGTATCCGAGAATAAGCCTGTGGGCTCACTCTGGTTATTTTCTTTTTTTTTTCACTCTGGTTATTTAGTAATGTTTAAATTTCCCATGTGACAGACTTATTATAATCTGATAATCAGTATAACTATTTACATAGATATACACACATATATGCACAACTATATATTATTATCACTTGATAATATAACCATATGTAAATTTTAAAAATGAGAATTTATTACTTCTAAGGGGTTCAAAAAGCTTTATGGGCACAATCACAGAAGATTTTAAAAGAGTACTAAAAATTAGTAGAGACAGGCTACAACCACACACTAGAGAAATGGAAGAGTCCAGAAGAGACGTAAAAACTTTCTACTCTTTTCCAAACACTCATCCAGAAGTCTTTCCCTCTTGAAACCATTCTGGTCAAAATTCTTGGTAGTCATAGTTTTTGGTCTGCCGATAACTATCACCTCACAAACATCAAAGTCATTATTTTAAAAAAAATATTTTATTTATTTATTCATGAGAGACTGAGGGGCAGAGACAGGCAGAGGGAGAAGCAGGCTCCTTGTGGGAAGCAAAATGTGGTACTTGCTCCCAAGGACCCTGGGGACCATGACCTGAAGGCAGATGCTCAACCACTGAGCCACTCAGGCACCCCTCAAAGTCATTACTTTGCATATTTACAATAAACATTTAGACTTGTCAACAAGATTGTCTTTTTTAAAAAAATATTTTGTTTAGTTATTTCAGAGACAGTACAAGCATGAGCAGGAGAAGGGGGAGAATGGGAGGGAGAAGCAGACTCCCCTCCCAGCGGGGAGCCCCATGGGCTGGATCGGGACCCAAGGGGAAGGTAGACCAGGAAGGTAGACGCTCAACCTATGAGCTACCCAGGCGTTCCAGCAAGCTTGCCCGTGTCTACATCTGCATTATTTTGAAAGGAATAGCAATGTTTCAAAGGCGGACAGGTTTCTGTCGTAGATCATAAGCTGGACTGCTTCTATTTAGAATGTTTTCTTTAAAAAAAAAAAACGTGGAAATCAAGGTTGTAACAATGGTCATTTTTTAAAAAGGAAGGCTGAGAAAAGGCAGCCTTTCAGTTTCTCCAGAGTTTTACTAAGTGAGGGTGCAGTAACTCGTGCCGGTCCCAGCTCCCCGAGTGCGCTGGCATTTGCAACACTTCCTTCTTGTGATCTGTCTCCTGAATCATCTTCAGACTTAGCACGGTTAGTAATCCTGTCCGCTGAAGGGCAGATTTGGTCTTGACCAGCCCAACAGTCACTCCCCCTAAGGCCTCTGACTCAGGCTTTTCTCGGGTTCTTGTTTTCAGCAGCACTTTGTCTCTATATATGGTAATGGAGCTCACACCGACCAGCCGCCTGCCTTCCTAGGAGGCTGGCCAGTCAAAGCACTCGAGGAGACCTCGCGACTACCGTGGGCACGGCGGGTTTGTCTTCTAGTAACGGTGAGTCACTGAGAAAAGCGACTCTTGCCCCTCCCCCATCCCCTCCCCCCCCCCCCCCCCCCCCCCCGGCAAGGCGCGCGGGTCTGCGCGGGGCAGCGGGGGCGCAGTGCAGCATCCCCACCCCAGGCCTGGCCGCGCGCCGCACCCCGGCCCGACCCCAGCCCGCTCGCAGCGGGATCTCAGCAGGCTCCCATCCGGATCCCAGCTACGCCGGGGGCGGGGCTGCCCCTCCCGGGAGCGCGCTCTCAGACAGTGGGTGCTGGCAGTGGGTGCTGCAGTTCTCCGGCCCTGATCTAGGTAGGACACTGCCACCCCCCACCTCCCGCCCCATTAGAGGGAGAGAGCACGGAGGGAGTTCAAGGGAGGGAGCAAGCACATGGAAGTCTCACTCTATGGAGGCATAACTCGAAATAAGCTGTATGCTTTTTCCTAGCAAAATTGGTCAGGAAAAACCTCAGGTTATTCACAACGACCAGAGATTTTAGGAAATGAGTAGAAGTAAGTCTTGAGTAGGAGCTTATTAGCTTTAAATAGTTGTCTCTTGATTTTTGGAGCAAAACGAAAACCTATCTTCAAGCTGGATGTCTAAAAATATTAGACTTCACCAAGGGAACTATAAGTAGAATTTTCACCCACATTTCACATTTCATACTAAAAATTTATTTTACTTTCTAGATGTCTTTTTTAAAAAAATGATTTTATTTGTTTATTCATGGGAGACACACAGAGAGGCAGAGGGAGAAGCAGGCTCCCTCCCTGCAGGGATCCCGACGTGGGACTGGATCCTAGGACCCCAGGATCACAACCTGAGCCAAAGGCAGATGCTCAACCACTGAGCCACCCAGGTGCCCCACTTTCTAGATATAACTAGAAAGCATATAGGAGGATATTGAATGTTGCTAAAATATTAAAAACTAACGTAGATGTTTCACAGGCTTCAATAGACTTTTAAGTTTCTTTGGGGTAGATGTGATAGCTGCTCTACAGTGTAAAGGTAGGGTTCACTGTAGTGTGTCACACAAAATAGACACAAAGGACGTTTACTACAACCATTTTTACGAAAGGTGTTGATGAAAGCCACTCTTCCAAGCAATTCCATGATAGAGTCGGGTTTGAAAACCACTATCAACTTCTTTCTATTAAGTTGATTAAGTACAGTTGTATCCAGAAGCAGAAGGATAAACTGAATGTTTCCTTAATGTTCCTCAGCGCTGGGGTGTCAGGGACTCCGGAAAGGGTGGCAAAGGCTCTTCGGTAATGATCATGTATGACTTTTGAGAATAACTCAATTGCTATTCATCCGGACCATTCCTTCCATCTACAAATTCCCACTGTGCCCTTCCCACCTGAACTCTCCCAACCCTGCCCTGCAAAAATGAATGAATGAATGAACGATGCATTAGAATCAGTATAGTTTCATTTTATAACGTCATCATTACCATTTTCATTATTTGTTCCCTCCACCATTTCCTACCTGGCCAAAACAAAACAAAGTCAATTAAACAAAAAACTTCAAGAACAAACAACTACCCGGAAAATCAAAGTATGCATACTCAGTTATGAATAAACTGAAAATCCCTCCCTCTCTTTTCAGTGAAATGTAGATAGATGTATGGTATAAAAGTTGTGTTTTATCATATGAACTTAGAGGACAAACAGGAAGGTGTGAGCCATAGTGCTTCCATTTTCCTTTTTTTTCTTTTTGAATAGAATGGAGAGAATGTAGTTATTGTCTGCCATCTAGTGAACTAAGTTGGAATTGTGTCTTGCCACTAAGATCCAGTAACAAAAATTCATAAAAATCATGCACTGATTCAAATAAAGATGGATGAATTCTCCAAACAATTGTCGTTCAAGCTTCAGAGATCCACACAGTAGGAAAAATCAATGACAGTGGTAATCAACTCCTGCTGAACATTTATAAAACTGGAGAGCAGGAGTTGATGTTAGAAGATGGAAAGAATCAAGAAAACCCACTTACAGAACCATGTCCTGAATAGCTGTTCGTGGTGAGGAAATACTGTTGTAATTGTTGAATTGACTGCATTCAGCAAGCTGTGTGGGACAATGACTTGAAATGATCCCCCAATAAGTAAGGCAAATGAAATAGTGCCAGTGAATATTGTCTTTCAAAGATCCAGTCTCAAACACTTGCTGGAATTTTTAATCCATCTCTATCCCTGTGTCCAGTCATCTGGTCTTGCCAGTTTTTTTTCCTTCATAATGTTTCCATTCTCTCTCCACTTTTTCTATTACCACTATTAAGAGTGGGCAATAGACTTTTCCATATTACTTTCCATCTTCTTAGCTCTGGCCAGTTTACATTATATTATATTATTATATATATATATATTTATTATTATTATTATTATTATTATTATTATTATTATTATTATATATTACCTTATAGTCTTCCTTAAACACTGTTTACTGTGTCACTGTTACTTGAAAAACCCCTGTTCCTCTATTTCTCTTTGTTCTTCTGTACCTCATCCACCTGGTTTCATTGTTGCTTTAATCAGGGGTCATCCTCTCTGCACAATTTCATTTCCTTACTCTTCCTGAACGTTTTGCCAGTCACTTTATGGTGAACATCCCTTGAACAGCCCTGCTCATTGCTGCCTTCAAGTCTTCGTTGGTGCAGTTCCTTTCATGAGAAATGTCTGTCTTTCCTTCCTCTGCCCAGCGAACTTTGCTTCACCTTTCAGGATCCAGCGCATCTGTGGCCCCTCCCTGGGTACCCTCTCATGGCCTTTGAAGCCTTGGGGGAATTACAGATTCTATTCTGTAGGCCAGCACTTGTGCAAATACTGTCTAATGGTTTACCATTATTTCACAAGTCCCAATTCCTCCAAAATCTATTGTGAAATGTTCCAGGCCAGGTATTATTTCTTCACCCTTTTCAAGCCCCCCTCAGGGTCAACACTTCTGGGAGCACTGGGAGCTCTTGGGTACTTGCTCATTGGTTTTCTTTGTCCTCAGCACAATTCTGTGAGGAAGAATGGAGCTGGTACTATTATTTCCATTTGACTAATGAGGATGGAGAGGCCCAGAGCACTTGCAAGACTTGCTCTTGTCAATGACAGTGACTGGACAGGGGCTCTGGGGGCTCCTTTTTTTCTAGAACTTCTCTTGGCACACTTTGCTACCATTGGACTGGTAGTAATAGATGAAGCAATGCATTAAACCCTTCTTTATTTTCAGCTACTACATACATTATGTTTTTATAGGTAAATGTCCTAAGCTCATATTGTAGGAAGAAGCCAGGCAACAGATTAGAATCAGGGTGTGTAGCTGTGTCTCCTGCTTGGCAATTTCGGTTCTTTCTTGGTGGTTATGCCACATTTTTAGCCCACACCCATTTGACCTGTTTGAAAACCACAAACTGGTTCCCTGGGCAGATATGACATTCTTCAGCACAGCTCTTGGATTAAACGATTTGTTGGGACCCTTAAACAACTATGGGTCCAATTGTCTCCTGACCTCTCACCTGCCAAAAGGAATCTTCGCACACCCGGGCTCACACTGCTGCTAAGCAGTTAAAGTCCACTACAGCCAGTCTTTCTTAGCCAGAGTTGTAAAGAAAAACAGGGAGGATTTCCAGATAGTTCCAACTCTGGCCACAGGATGGATTCATTTTCCATCCTGTGTGCACCTTGGGTGACTCACCAGCACAGTAGCAGAGTGACTTCTGCCTCCATTCCCAGATGTATAGCTAGAGGTCCCTTCACTGATGCACTCTCTCCACAGCCTGGTTAGCTTGGTGGGAAGACTCAGTAGCAAAATGAAAATGTCACATCTACATGCAGCTAAGCAGTTCAGAGGGATGGCATTGCCGAAATTTGTCCTTATTAAATATCTGGAAAACAGGTACTTAGAAGATTGTTAAATGATTCTACTAGCTTAAAATAACTATGTGCATTAATTGAACAAAAAGCAGTAGAATAAGGCTTAGATTGTTTAAAGTAAATCTAAATGAATAAGTTGTAACCAGCAACTTTTATAGCTGCATGTCTGAGGAAATGATCAGAATTAATCTAAAAGTATCACGAAATGCAATATTATTACCTTTATCTAATGATAATGCTGTTAACACATAAAAATATTATTTTCCAACTGAGCTATAAAAAACCTTTACGATAATGAGTGGTAGGAAATTTTAACCTAGAAATTAGATCAAGAAGTTTTAATTTTGCAAGATTAATCAGTCCTAGAGATCTACTGTAGAGCACGGAGCCTGTAGTCAATACTGTATTGTATACTTTTAAAAATTTTGCTTAGAAGGCGGATTTTCTGTTAAGTATTCTTATCGCAAACATATAGATAAATAAAGAAGGCAGGGAGAAACTTTGGGAGGTGATTGATATGTTTATGGCATAGATTGTGGTGATGGTTTCATGGGTGTATACTTATCTCTGAACTCCTCAAGTTAGATACATTTACTATGCATGGCTTTTTGTATGTCAATCATACCAATAAAGTTTTTTTTTTTTTTTAAGAATTACCTCCATCTGGAAAACTAACATATAAAGCATTAGGTGCAGAGTACTCATGAAAAGCCAGTTACTACCACTAAAGAAGTCCCTGAAGAATAATGGCATCCCTTTCAAAGCACACAAAATATAAGCCCTAACTTCACTGCCATCAATCCTCCCAAGAGGCCTGAGAGAAGGTAGACCAGCTATTCTGTCCCTGTTTTTCAGGCTTAGAAAGTTAAATGGGCTTCAGGCCTTCTATGCCCCATCCTGTAGTGGTGGTGGTGGTGGTGGCATTGTGGGCCTGTGACCTGAAGCCAAGCCTTAGGACTTCACATCCATTAACTACCCATATACCAATGTGTTAAGATACAAACTCTTATCAAGATATATTATTGACTACGCAGGTCCCAGAATATGTTTGCAGAGAAAATTACTGTTCCAGTCTTGTGAAAATTTGAATGTTTCCTGAGCAAATTTCTAATGTGGCACTTTGGAAAAAAATCCTTATAAAATATCTTGTAC